GGGGCCGCGGATGGAAGACACTCATTCGAGTAGGGGATCCACTACAGAATTCATTCACCCCAGGCTTGATTTGTCCGTCGAGTCTTCGTAGAACACTTCGTAGAACACTTCGTAGAACACTTCGTAGAAGACTTCGTAGACCTACGGAGCATTCTACGTATTCTTCGTAGACTCGACGAGCAAAACAACTTCGGGGTAAATCGAGTCTGTAGTCGTTCCCCTGCTCGACTCATATCGGCGCATGTCAGTGGCGGGCACACTTCCCCCCCCATGGCGGGTTCGTAACGCGACGAACTCGGTCGGTGTCTGGCACCGCTTGGGTCGTTCCACTTTGAGCGATTGTGGCTTCTGGATAGCGGCGGTGAAAGGAGCCCTTGGACACACGAATCAATAGACACAAATCCCAGGATTCCCCGTAGTTTCTCATATTTTCCGGGGTTTCGTCTCCCCCACCACTTCCCAAACTTTCCCATCCTTTCCAGAGAATCGAAGATGAATTGTGTCTGCGTGTGTGTTTGTGTCCCCTCAAACAAGGTCCTTGGACATCGGCCGGTTCTGGGGCTCCGGCGGCATTCCACCTTGAACGCCCGCGCTGGGGTCGCCGCCGCGTCGACGCGACACGAATCCACCGTGGCGTGTTTTGGTCGGCCGACGGGTCCAAGGTTTGCTCGTCTGGAGGTCCGTGCAAGTTTGGACCGACGCCAGACTCACCTGTTGGCGCCTCCGGCGCCGCCCATGGCGCGCTCCGTGCGCCAGGGGAGTAAGCTACAGCACCGATCGAAGAAATCCGCGCGGACCTCAAGAAATTTGGTGTACAGATATGGCAACTCCCCGGACCTCTTCCAGGCTACGTTCTCACCAGAACTTTGAGGCGAATCCGGTGGTGGCGACGAGGGCCTCCCAGGAGAGCCAAAAGGCGAGAAAACGATGCCAGGGAAGCGGTGTCGGTATCTGTTCCTCCTCTAAGTTCGAATATCTTGTGTGCTTTATCCTTAAGTCGGGCGTGTCCCCCCCCCTACAGGGGGATTTCCGACGAAAAGTTACAAATACGAAAAAACAGAAAATCCAAAATGGTCAAACAAAAACTCCGAAAATAGTCCCCAGACTAATTTTTGACTATTGTTGAGTAGTCCCCCTGTAGAGGGACAGGCCCGACTTACCTTTATCCCTCGATCCACCTTGGGCCAGACCTTGGGCTTCTTCTGCGGCCCCTCCGCCACGGGCTCGGCGTCGTGGAGCTTGGCCAGCGGCGCGAGGGCCTGCTCTGCGTCCGCCACGGTGGCCACCTCGCCGAAGTAGAGCCCCAACTGCGCGTTGTGGCCCTTCCTTGAAGGGGCCCTGACACACACACACACACACAGAGCCACACACACACAAACACACAAACACACACAAACACACACAAACACACACAAACACACACAAACACACACAAACACACACAAACACACACAGACACACACAGACACACACAGACACACACAGACACACACACACACACACACACCACACACCACACACACACCACACACACACCACACACACACCACACACACCACACACACACCACACAACACCGAACAACACAACACACCACACCACAACAACACAACACAACACAACACCACACCACACCACACCAACACCAACACCAACACCAACACCAACACCAACACCAACACCAACACCAACACCAACACCAACACCAACACCAACACCAACACCAACACCA